AATTCTCTCTCCTTGAATTAGAACATCCATCTAAAAAAAGAAAAGTCAATTGTTATTTTCCACTTACCACTAATACCCCAAAAGTGCCAAATAGTCAGATTTAAAAGGAAGAAAATACAGTCATCTTCCAGGTCTGCAAATAACACATCTTGGCCTTTGGCATCATAAAGAGAATCATTTAGAAGATAAAGTGATTTTTTTTTTAAAGTTTTTAACGCAGATATTTAGTGTCAAACAAAGTCAACCTATTGGAAATTTTTCATCAATATGGTTATTCATTGACCATTCAGAAGGAGGAAAACATAAGCAGATTCCTCAAGCCTAAAGGAGTTGGAAAATGCATATCTTCAAGCCTGCAAGATTTGGAGCTTTCCCATGTCCCTTTTCCACAAGATGTAGATTCAGTAGAGCCCCTGTAAGGAACAGCCAGCTCCTCAGGACCCAGGGGATTCATAGGCCTGGGTCCTCGGGCTGTGCTCAGCAGGGCGCCCACAGAGGCAACTTCCAAGGCCAAGCCCAGAAGGCCAGGGCGTCTGACTGTGATTCAAAGTGTACTGTGCATAGGAAACAAGCTACACACGCACTCTCGTACGGGCTCCTGCACTTTGTGGTTCTGGATGGGGGTCACGGTCATGAGGGAAAGCCTCTCCCTCAGGGGGTTACTGTGGTCTGAGCTCTGCCCACAGCCTTCAGACTCAAAAGAAAAATGTCACCCCACTCAGAGATGATCAAACGTGAGGGCTTGATAAAGACTGCAGTAGCCAATGACAAACAGCAATGTATTCATTCACAATAAAGGTTTTGTTTTAGCAAATAAAAGAAGGTCCAAGAGAAAATAAAAACTTGTTACAAAATTGAATTCTATAAAGCTGTTGTTTCTTTTAACCTGCCAATTGCCTCTAGCTTTCACTTCATGGCATAGGAAAAACCAGGGTGCGGTGCAGGGAACCTCTGCTGATGTTTGTACTCATGGTCATTTCCTCTGTGGACAGCTAGTTGCCATACTGAGCTAGTGATCTAGGAGCACAGAGCCATCATATGACTGTGGTCTGTTCTGTGTAGCACCTGGGGTTTTGCTGAAACCAAATAGTGGAAGCCATGGAGAAGAACTGGCTGTGAGGAGTCTTGTGGGTGATGTTGGTTTTAGGAATCTGTCCCCAACCTCATGAGAAAGGTCTTGAAGAAATCTGAGATAAAGCAACTTTGCTTAAGCCTTCCTTATATTTTCAGCCTTTCCATTCAAAATGCCACCTTTGGAATAGATCATCATAGAAGCAAAGAGAAATCTCAGTGAACTCATTATTCTAAAGGAGATAACTGAAAATTGCCCCCACGAGTTGTCATTTGTGTATTATAGCAGGAAACCATTACCTGTAGTATTTATATGCAAGGTGTGGTGCTGCTGTGGAATATGCATTCATTGCTCTGTTTGAACCTCAACAACCTCCTTTAACAAATAAGGAAAATGAGGCTTGGAGAAACTGGGTAAGCTGCCTGGAGTCAGTGGTAGGGCCAGGACTCCAGCAGTAGGCTTTCCTAGCGTGAGGCCCACTTGCCCTTACACAGCTGAATCCATTGGGTAATATTGTCATCAGGTAACAATTGGTCAATACATTTCTTGTTATGGTGTCTTTGTTCCAGGGAGAACAGTAGAGACTGAGAAAAACATGCCAGCAGTGCACATACAGAGAAGGTCAGAGGAGCCTCCTTGTAAGCTCCTGGAGCAGGTGTGACAGTCCCCCCTCCCCACCCACCCACCCACCATGTCTGGCTCAGTTTTAATGTGTGTCTCAAGGAACTGGCATTAATAACAGATATGAGATGAATGATTTGAGATCAGTATACTTTAAAAAAGTAAACCAGAATGGAATCAAATTGATCCCTAGAGTAATGCCATGCCCTTACATTCTGGAATGCTCTTTCTTGAGTAGAACAAAGGGTTGGGGGTGACAGCTTAACAGGGACTGTCCACACCCTGGCTCCACCCCCACCGACTACCCACGGAAGGATGTTGCACAGAACCTGCTAGGTGTGTGTGTGTGTGTGTGTGTGTGTGTGCGCGCGCGCGCGCGTGTGCGTGTATCATCTCAGGTGTTGCAATGAGAAAGGACTGAGTGCTGCCAGAAGTATTCAGGGTATGTATAATAAAAGTAATGGATAAGTAATGCTTCCCTTGCTTTCAGTTGGAATTCTTTTGAAGCAACAGCTATCAAAGAGGGACTGCATCTAAGCCTGTTAAAAATATTAGAAAAATTTTATTCCCATTGCTCAAAATTCTGTGACCTACTTTGAGTATAACCTTATTTCACAGCTTATTCTGAATATAACACAATGTGACAATACAGGCATTTGTAAGAACATTAGAGCTTTCATTGTTGAGATAAAAACTGGTTCCATAATGATGATCCAGAAATGTTGCCATTTAAGTAGATGCCAACCTAATAATGAGTTAGGCCCCAAGGATGTCGCCCATAGCATATGGAGAAGAAGGCACTACAGGGATGTCTGCACAAGACGGCCCACAGCTCTGCATCCCGCCAGCCACAGCCTCTCTGTTGGCTCCAGGCCTGGATGGGCACTGCTCACTGCACCATCTATGCTCAGAAGACTTCACTTCAGCAAGGACAGCAAGTCCCCATGGACCCCACTGCAGCAGGAGAAGCTTGCTGCTGCTGAGGGCCACCTGGCAAGGCGGGACAGCCTGGAGGGCAGTGGCCCACGCCAGTTGTGGTGTGAGTGCCTGTGTGAGGTAGGTCCCTAGGCCACCACAGGGCCCAGATCCTGCCTTTCTAGAACTGTGTCATTTCCCATCCCCTTATCAGCACCAGGCATGGAATGGGAATGACTGCTTTCTGGGCTGTTGGTCTTAACTGCTTCCCTGTGGCATCCTGTTGATCTTGTGGTTTTAACATCTCCTGTGTACCACGAATGGCTTGAAAGACAAGTGTTCTTCAGAAGTGAATAAATGGAAGAGAGTGATTGCCATGGAGTGGTTAAATAAATTCTGTCATTATCAAAACAGTAATGCTGACGGCAGAAGGAAGCAGCATGGTGAGGGAGAATGGCAAGTAGGAGAGGGTCAGCGGGGTCAGTGAGAGGTGAGGGGAGCAGGCAAGGGGGCAGGAGCAGACCCAGCCCCAGCGGGAAGCCGGTGACCCAGGGGGCAGGGAGGCCCCCGGTGCTGCAGGGAGGGGGCTCTGAGGGTCCCCAGCGTTTCAGGAACCCCCCAGTGGGCGCTCCCACCCCACCCTGCAGAGGTCAGGGTGTGAGCCAGGGGGTGTTCTTGCTCTGACTAGCGAGAGTGTGTTCCACGGTGCTGGGGGCCAGAAAGCATCAAAGGGGTTTAGTAGTAACAACAATGAGCTTGGTTCAAGTTTGTTGAAATAAGATTGTGAAAGACTTGATCTCTTTTAGGCATTTTTCAAGTTTTGCTTATTTCTAGGAAAAGAAAGCCATTGAGGATGGTTATTTCTGTTTTCAGAAAACGTGCATCTCTGCTGGGGCTCCCTCCCCTACATTTGGTGGTGGGCTTTCTGGCCATTTCCTTGAATTTTAAGTTGCCACCTACTCCCAGAGAGGAAGTTAGTGCTTGGGCATCAGTAAGCCACACACTGGTGGGCAAGACAGGGAGAGGGCCTGGGCAGAGTAGTGAGTCTTAGAAGCTTTTGAGAATGAGCTTTTATGCTGTTTTCAGTGGGAGAATCTCTACAGCAACCCACATCGGTAATGATTGTTCACTGTGGTCCAGAGGCACACGTGCTCTGCGGTCCTGTGCAGGCTGCCTCTGCCCGGTGGGGGGCTGCTAGTGGGGATGGTCAGCCACTTTGTTAGATTCACTTGTGGTCTGTCACCTGTCGCCATGCCAGAGCTGTAGTGGCCTGTTACATAATTTATAAGCTAGACCTTAAGCCCAAACTTCCTCTCAGTGCAGCTGAGCCTGTCATATTTTTGCCACTGATTCCATGATGTCCTGTGGCTATCTTAGGAACAGGCTGTATATATTGGACAAACACCCTGTTCAGCCACAAAAGGGCATTTGTATTAGCATTCTGGCCTACAGAAGAGAGCAAGAGAGGACCAGCCTTTTCTCTGAAGACTTGGGGATGTTTTGCCTTGCAGGCCTGCTTGTGGATGCTTTTAAGTTATAAGGAAGCTCAGTGATCACATAAAGTCATGTATGTGTATTTCTGGGAATCCAGAAATGCAGCCATCTCTCCACTTCTCCAGCCCCATAGTTCTTTATTCTCTTTATTATAGTAAACAGGCCTTTAGGTAACAGCCCAAAAGAACCAGTCAACAACTGGGTTCAAAAGGGATGACATATGGAAATGCGTTATAAACAAGTCTGTGGTATTAGGAATGACCCTTCATGATGCCTACTGTTGACTTGTCAGCTTGTCAATCTGGCCAAACATTTTTGAGAAAGATATTAAGCAACTAGGTGTCAAATTACATCTGTCTTGTGAATACATTGACTGAAAACTGAATTTACTAGAAGATGCTCAAAGGGCATTCAGGGTTTGAGAACTGCTTTCAGTCTGAGAGCCACCCAGTGTGGCTGCGCAGTGCTTGTCCTCACTGCTGCTGAACTCAAAGCTGAGCCACAATTCAAGGGCCTTGGCTGGAGTGAGGCCAGCTGAGCACCTAAGAGCTTAATTCACCCAGACCCTCCCCAAGTCTATGTACTGCTGAATAGGTTTTGATGACATTTTGAATATATTTCAAGCACACAGTGTATAGTTTAAAAGGTGTTTGACTTTGAATCTATTTCAAATCCAATCTGTTTCAAATGTGTTATGGCTGAACCTAAACTAATTTTTCCTTTCTGTCACAATTCTCTGCTTAGATGTTAGGTGTCCCAAAGGACCAGAGTATCCTATTGTTCTGTGTTTTAAACAGGTCTGCCACTGTCAAAAGACGAATGTGACCCCTTGATTTGGGGGGCTGCTAATGCAACTAATGATTTTCTCATGGTGTTTTTCCCCCCCTCCCCCTGTCAGGAAGGGCACCTGTGGCCTTCAGACAGCTCCCGGCCCCGGCCAGTTCCCTCAGAGGTAAGGGGCTGACAGGGTGAGGGTAGGGGGGGCAGGAGGAGGGCCCTATGTGCAGAGGGAAATAAGCCATTGCAGCAGGGGAAATAAGCCATTGCAGCAGAATCAGTGAAAGGGTTAAATGTATTACACACAGATAACCAAATAACACATTTAATTTAAGGCATATACCTATAACTTTGGTTAGGAAAGTGGGGAAGGGATTTTCCCTAGACCGTCCCAGGGATTATTTGTACTAGTCTAAAGCTCTTTACAGAAAACAGGTTGAGAATTGCTGATCTTCACATGATCTCATAAGCTGCTAATAATATGGCTTGGCAGATGCAGGCATAATTTATTAATACTACATCATGATTTATTCCCAAATCTCCAAATTTAACTGTATGATTTTTAAAATAACATAGTTTTTTGCTTTTGAGTTAAAAAATATGGTGAGAGAAGTCAGTGGACATACATACATATATACATATATATGTATATAAAATATCTTTCCTGTAGAAGAAACCTGGATAGTGGAATATATGAGAGGATTATGTAAGAAATATACTACCTGGATTCATTTTGGAACAATATCAATCATATTTATTTTGGAATAAAAAATATTTTTTATGTCAGTTACTAAAAAATACTACACGAAGCTTTTGTCCAGAAAGAAGTAACTGAAAAAGCCTAGAAAACAGGAGAAGTCACTCATTCCATATTTTTTGATAAGGTGGCAAGCTCCTATAAATAATTCATAAATTAACCCAAAGCCTTCTTCCAGCTCCAGGTACTGTGGTGTGAAATTAAAATTTCCACTTATAATGAAAGCACTGAGCTGCACCCCCACTCACAGGTTCGAGAGCTGCAAGGACCCAAGAATGCAGGCGGGCAGCCCTCTTGCCTTATAGGCAATGGAGCGGGACCTGTACTTGGGCCCCAGGTGGACGGGACTGGACGCTGTCTGCACCTGCCTTCCACTGTGTTCTGTGTGCTACACTCAGGAAATTACCACGTGTTCTACTTGAACCAGAGCAGATCATACACAGCATATGCAATAACTCCCATTAAACCCAAAATTTCAGTTAACCACCCCTTTTCATTGTTGGACCATCCTGGATAAACTGAGTTTTGCAAGGTGAGTGGTACGTCACGAGGAATAAGAAAGCTACACTTTTTTCTGGAATAGACTTTTTCTGTTTTGTCAGGGAAAGTTTTCCAACTGGTGAATTTCCTTGATACCATCATGTCCCTCATCATCATTGTACCAGGAATGTCTCTAGCTCCCCTCTTTTCCTTGCAGATTATGTATGCCCCACGCTCCAGGGACAGGTTTCCTGCCCCATCCTTTATCCAGAGGGATCGGTTCAGCCGCTTCCAGCCCACCTACCCCTATGTGCAGCACGAAATTGACCTTCCTCCCACCATCTCCCTGTCTGACGGGGAGGAGCCACCTCCTTACCAGGGGCCCTGTGCCCTGCAACTCAGGGACCCTGAACAGCAGATGGAACTCAACCGAGAATCTGTGAGGGCCCCACCCAACCGAACCATATTCGACAGTGATTTAATAGATGTTTCTGTGTACAGTGGGGGCCCATGCCCACCCAGCAGCAACTCAGGCATCAGTGCCAGCATGTGCAGCAGTGGTGGGAGGATGGAGGGGCCACCCCCGACCTACAGCGAGGTGATGGGCCACTACCCAGGCGCCTCCTTCTTCCACCACCAGCACAGCCACGTGCACAGGGGCAGCAGACTGCCGCTCCAGCGGGACAGCTCGGGGAGCACCGTGATGCCCTTCACGGTTAAAGACAGGAAGCCTGGGGACCTTGTCTGATGCTCGACGGCGCAAGTGGAGGAGAATGCCACCCAGGAGAGGGGGTGCTGTGCTGCCCCTCTGCGCCTGGGCACATGCTATTCAGTTTTACATGCTACAACTGAGTAAAGCCAAATGTGCACATGTGGTCTTTGTTTCTGATTCCTTTCAGGGGAATTGCATGCAGAAGAGACTGAAATAATACAAACTTCCACCCAGTCTGACTGCAAACAGTGTTTTTTGGGGGCAGGCATTGGGGACAGGGGATGGTTTTGGCAAAGGGTGGGTGTGGGAATGCAGAGAAAGGGATACTTGGAAGCTGTTGTGAAGTAAAACCCACAGAGGCACCTGATGTATTTAACATGAAGGCAGATTTTGCAGAGAAAGAGGCGCAAATGGTCTGTTTCATAACCAACTGATGTACACTATTATATATCACCCCAGGAAGAATTGGCCAGTTTGCTTTTTCTCCCAAGGTGTGGAGCTCTTATTTTGTTCTAAAAATATTATTCAAAATTTCTGTTTTGTGTGCTCAGGTATAAAGTGGGGGGAGTTAGATGAGCGCACGGAGTTGATTTGTGTTGTGCTGGTGTGGTCGAAGTTGCACCACCTTAATGTTCAAACTCCCTGGGAGGGGGCTGTTTCACAGGAAGTTGTGTGCGCTGCCTCTTCTCTGGTGGACGAGTGCTAGGCAGACAGCCTGGAGGGCTCCCTTAATCGTGCTGGAGGTAGCCTAACCCCTGCTGCCTTTGTCAGTCAGGAAAGTCGTCACCAGAGCTCTGGGAGACTTTTGGATGGAAGATAGCAAGTGCTGAATTCCCTCATTCCTGACCTGTTGAGTCCCTCTGCTGGCCTTCGGCTGCCTACCTTATTAAATTGAACCCAACACATGCATTTATGTGCCCTCCAACAGTACAGTTTCTTTGGTAGTGTAGTTTTTTTTCCCCTGTGGCATGAAATACACTCAGATACATACATAATTTTATGCAATAAATTGTTTAAGATGCAAGGTGGTTACTTTTAATACTGCTGACACCTGTGACTTCTCAGTGTGTTCCCATTGTGTCTTTCCTTTCCCAGGTAGTTCAGGTCGGACAGGGTGGCTGCTTGGTGCTGCCAAGGCTCCCATGTAGCCGCCTGGCCTTGGCATGAGGGTTTGGCAGTGGGCTCTTCAGGCACAGGAAGCCCCTGAGGTGACTGAGCGCCATGTTGCCGGGCATGGTAAGCCACTGCACACTGCTAGTGGGGTACAGCCCTCTAGCAGGAATGCAGCACTCAGAACCTACCCAGTGCCTGTGGGAGGGGGCCTGCTCATTCTCTGCAGTGGTGGCCAGAGCTGGACAATCAGTGACAGACCAGAGCAGGGCTGGGAGCGACTCTCAGAGCACAGGATAAAAAGCACAACGTGCAGTGAGAAAATGCAACTAGACAACTAATTTTAAATACTTTTAAATCTCTTAGTCTTAATCCCGATATTTGCAAACATCCATTCTTATGTAAAACACCTTTCTTCTGGAAGTCAGCATGGCCAGTGGCTCCACAGTAGTGGCCCTGGGAGGGTTCATCTGTGGCAGCTGCCCGCCCAGGGCAGTTGTGCCCTCCAGCATGAAACAGTGTTTGGGGTGCCATCTCTAAGCACCGTGGACTGCAACTGTCTGAGGATCTAAGCAGCGACGGCCTGTGAGTGGGCTGAGCTGAAGAAGTCCACGTCCTGTCCACTGCCCCTTGCTGTTTTATGCTGTTTCTGTTGGTTGCAAGGTAGCTGGGTTTTGTTTTGTCTTGGGGATTGGACCCTGCATTAGATTCTCCCATGCCACACAGTAACTTCCACAGAACTAGCTAGGCTCTTAAAAGGAGAAAGAAAAGGGGCAACAGTTGTCACTTGTGCTTCAGACCCTGTCTGAAGTGTGTCCACCGAGGGCTTCAGTGGTGGTCCCAGCCGGGCAGGCCTGTGCCCTCCAGCCCCCTCCACCAGCCCGCTTACCGCTCTTGGGGCAAGCTGTGCTCAAGACAAGAAGCTTGTCCCAGTGGTGGAGGCTTGGGGCAGGTCATTGCTGGATCGTCTCCTCAGTTGCCAAGTGGGGTTAGCTAATGATGTCATCCTTCCAAACCTTGCCTGTAATTCTGGTAAAGTGGGTGAAACCCATCCCATAGCTCAAAATGGTTTTACAGTGCTTATTTTTCTACCTGCTACAAGAATGAGGCATGATTAGAAACCTGTATGTTCTTTAGTCACTTTAGAAGTATATGAACATTCTGCAGATGTCCACAGTATTGGCAAAATAATTATTTAATTCAAATAACCTTAATCGTCCGAGAAAACAGATTCCTTCCCACTCAGCCTAAAGTATTGCCCTTTGAGTTAAATAGTTAAAGGCACAGTCACATCAACCATGGCTTGGTCTTTGAGGATCCTCAATAATGACTTCGTTTAAAAGCCAAGGTCATCAGTTGAGAAGTAATAGTCAGTTTCCCCTTGACATAAGAAAAAGGTGATTGAGAGCAGTGGCTCTTGAAGGTTGTGGCTAGCCTGTTTGCACAGTGCTGCCCCTCGCTGCTTGGTGTGGGAAAGGAGACTATGGGGATGCAGTCTGCACAGCAGGCCTGATACCCAGGAGCCAACATGCTCACAGACCCCAGGCTCCAGTTTAGAAACTGGTGGGTCAGGCAGTCAGGAATAGGCTTAGTTCAGTAGAGCATTTAAAAAATGGATCACAGTGTTCAAAATGACAGCTGGTGGGAACTGATACTCCTGGGCAACCTGCTGTCCATTTGTCCCGTTTGTCCACTGTCTCAGGGACTTCCAGGAGCATGAAGCCCAAGGTGTGTTGAGTCCCATTTATAGCAGCACAAAGTTCAGGCAGATAGTTTCTTTTTCATTAAATCTAGAGTTCTTCAGATACTGAAGCAGTCCTTGGTACAAGAGATTTTGCTAAACAAATTAAGCATTTAAAAGTGGATCTATTCTTTGAGTCACTAACCAAAACGTAATGCCAAATAAGCTTGGCAAGCTTACCCTACATTTTCTCCATGTTGTGTACGGACACTCAGCCCATGAGAAACTTCAAGATAGCAGGACTACACTTAAGTCCACTAATTTTAGCTCAAGCTTATGGGAGAGGAAGTGGAGCTAGCAGGACAGGGTCCTCAGCACATGGGGCATGTGGTTCACATGACCTGACTTCCCAGAGCTCCGTGCTGTCCCCTTCGTTTGCCATCATGAGAAGAAGGGCCCAGAAGGCAAGTCCTTTTGAAAGGGCTGTGCTTCTCTGCTCCGATCCCTGCTTCTTCTAGAGCCAGCCTGCCCTGTGACAGGGCACCTTGCGGCCTGTCTGCCCCACTGGGAGACCCAGGTGCCACTGCCCCCATGGGGCAAGCCCGGTGGGTGCAGTACCAACCCCAGCTGGTAGATTCACCCTTCATTTTCTTAAAATTCCTAAGCTCAGCAGTGTACGAATGGAAAAACTGGGAAGGATACTTGGGTTTTATTAACTGTTGTTTGATTTTGTCTATGTGACTAAAACAGAAAAAACACCAGTGCTTGGCACCGAGCCTCTGTAGGTGACATAGGCCCCCTCCTAGCTTTCCTTTGGTGTCCCCAACCCCAGGGGACAGCAGGGCTGAGGCTCACCTGGTCGGACAGGCCTTGGGGACCGTTGAGAAAGTCATGGTTGGGTGACAAGCTAGCAAGTCTCCACAGAGACTGTGTCTAACCAGAGTCACAGAGCAAGAAGCCTTGCATCCCCCGAATCACAGATGATGGTCTGGATTGCTGGGTGCCAGCCCCGCTGGGCATGGGTTCCAAGCAGGCCCTCTTGGCCAGGCCCAGCGGCCAGCATGAAGGACTCCCCAAGCTGGAGTCACCACCTCGGCTTAGGTGACTTCACCTCCCATAGAGATGCATCTTTTGCACAGTCCAAGTGTATAGGTTGTGGCCAGGATCGGGCAGTTGGGCTGCAGTGTCAGGGAGCTGGTGAGTGGTTGGGAGGCCTTGCTGGGCGAGCTCCGTCCTCCTTCAGTCCTGTCCCCTCCTTTCGGTGTGCTCACTTACTGTGCACGGGGGACCGAGCTGCAGACTTCGATGCGCAAACTTGTGTGCTGTGTGGATCCCTATTCACTTTCGAGCTCTGCATGTCAGGAGTTTTAAAGCAACCCATCCGCTTCCAGCAGACTCGGGGAGCTGGGACCCTACCAGGGCCATGCTCTGCTGTCACCTGTGTCGTGCCTCACTTACAATGGTGCTTCCTCAGCTATCTGTCTTTCCTTGTGTTTTATGTATAAGGTGCTGTATATAACTTGAATATATTATGCACATATCCTACCCAATGGGTAGAACAAAAAATTGTTAATATTGTAATATAATGTATAGATACCAATTTTAACACAAATGGCATAGAATTTGTGAATGCCTATGTGCTTTGTCCTCTTTTGTAAGGAAATTTGCAAATGTATGCATACAGATAAAAGTCTGTGCAGTTTATTTTCCTATTAAATATCAATATAATAACACAAGGAAAAGAAGTCTGAACAAGTAAGCCACAGTTTATGACCAGCATATGTATAGCAATCGAGAGCTGCATCTTTGCTGTGAAAACTTTTGAAATACTAATTTTAAAAAATCCCACAGCTTTTGGGTTGCCACTATATGCTTCTTAATCTCTTTAGTAATGCTCAGATGGACAAGTGTGTGTTAGAAAAAAAATTTATTTTTCAATTTGCTTTATGAAAAGACATTATCTCATGTTACAGAATAATGAGATGGCAGACCCCAGTTAAAAGTGCACATTTTGTTAAAATTGCAAAAATTATGTCAGAGCAAATAATGGCCTGCAGCAGAGGACTTTGTTCAGCACAGAGCTAACCTTCCCATTCAGTCCCAAGTTTCTCTGGGCCTTTCTCTTTGGAAAAACTGAAGCTGTGGAGCCAATAAACTACCAGTAGTTTGTAGGGACAGAATACCTTGGGAAAGCGAACGCACTGAAGACTGCCCTTCGTAGAAACTGTCTCGTTTCGGGTTATCATTAGTAGAGATTTAGCTAGCAGCCAGAAGAATCTTACATTCATTCCTGTTGCTGTCTCATGGTGATCTCGACCCAAAACAAGCCTGGTTTTGCCATCAGTGAAGGGTCACATTTTCAGCTGCATGTTATCACACGGCTCTTACACAGCATCTACTTCCAGTTCATTTTTTAGTGTCTGTGACTTCTGCTTTTATCTTAGTATTTTCACATTACAAACAGAAATGCCTACAATGTGTTTCACTAAAACCACTATTGAACCATGGGTGTCTGCGTCCTTTCCAATGTTGTCTGTGAAGACAATTGTGAGATTTCGTCTCTCCGATCCATTTCTATTTCATTGTCATCAGAGGGTAATTCTAGTTAACTCCACATTGTTAATTTACTGTGTAGTGTATGTTGTGATTTTGAAAATCACTACAGGATCATTACCTTAACCTCCACAAAACAAATTACCAATTATTGAGCTGACTAAAAAGGCAGCCTTTTGTTTATAATGTTCTGAAAGGACCTTGAAAAGAGAATTATCTCACGTGCTCTGTCCACCCAGCACATTGTCTGCTGTGCTGCAGGGGCCCCCTCAGGATCAGTACTGAGAACGGAGGCTCTTTCGACCAGAAACACCCCACCCCGCTCCGGGTTCCATCTCTTGGGAGAACTGTTGGGCATGCGTGTCATCGGAGAATGTTCTAGACTCAGAGGTTACTAAAATTTGTTACCATGCCATTGCTTCCTTTCTACAGAAGTAATGAGGCTTAAACTTCATTGTTAATGATGTTGGTTCATTCTGATGTGCTTGTTGGTATATTGCTATTTTTCATTCCATAGCTTTCAAAAATCCCATTTTCTAATTGTATACTTGTCTAGTTTAAAGTTACTTCAAAATACTGCTCATAGTGTTTATTAGTTAATTTTTATTATAATGCAGCTTACTAAAAAAGTACAACTGTATTGGAACTTTTCAATGGTTCATATGTGACCTGATAATGAGAAGTCATTAAGGTATCTAACAGCGATTTGTGCTTTCGTTTCAACACAATTCCCAGTTACACACAGAAAAAGGTTTTCAGCTATTGTGTATTTGCCTCTTTTAACTCAACAGTGGTGATGTAGGTCTTGGAACTGAAGTCTGCAATCACAATACTTTTCTAAGAAAGATGTTGCTCTAAGTGCTGTTAGTTATGAAATCAGCTTTTGCTGCTTGTTCTTAATGTTGTGGTCAAACCACAGCACAAAATCATTAAAAATAACCAGTGATAATACATGTGTCTCCTGTTTTTCTTTCAATCTCTCAAAAAACAGAGCACATTAAGTGGAAAAACACTGCATGTGTTTTAAAATCCATCTCAAAAAAACACTTCTTACGGCTCCCTAGCTAACCTTCCCATTCAGCTTTTCATTGTTCTGACTTTTCGGATATCATTATATTCTGCTGTATATAAATCACTCCGGTCAGATCATAGGATTCTTTTCCCAATTCTGGGTTCTACACAGAACACTCAGGGTCATCCTCTGTGGGAGGAGCCGCTGAGAACAGCTTCACCTGGGCCAAGAGCAGGAGTTCACGGTTATATGGTTTCTGGATGGCTGTCACAGAGGAACTGCAGTTCATCAGCCCAAAACATGAACAACTTTTCTGCCTTGAGAACCACTGAGCAACAGACACCCTAGGAGGCTCCGGTCCTTGCACTGGAGGTTTGCAGTCTGTGATAATGTAGCACTCTCAATTTCCTTCACTGAGAGATTGGACTGATACTATCTCTAAGCACTAAATAAGTATATGAATCCACAGATGACATGATCATGTATGTACAAAACCTCAGACAATCTACCAAACTATTAAGAATTTGGCATGGTTGTAGAAAACACAATTTATTTTTGCATTTCTATATTAGTAATGAACTTTGGAAACTAAAAGCTTAAAAACACCATTTAAATAGTTTTATTTAACTCTTCAAAACACACATTTTTGAATCTGAATTTCTTGAAGGGGGATAAGAAAGATATTGGGGAAAATAACTACAAAAACAGGATTTCTTTCCGTTAGAACAGCAAATAGTTGCTAATAAGCCACAGTATCCTCTGGAATAAATTCTAAAATCTCTTACTCAGCAGATCATTCAAGGAATGTTAAAAAATATTCTCCAAACTTACTATCCCTGAGTGAAGCTAAAGCTAGGATCAACTTTCCTTGTGGAAAAAGTTCTACACAGAAGGAAAAAGGGAATACAGAGCTTGAGATTCCTACTCGATGATCCTATTCAGTAAACCATGGCGTCCGTCTGCTTGCCATAACATGAAAGAGTCCCTCCCACCTCATCTGCCACAAGGTATAGACATACCTGGTGTCACCTGGGAGCAAAGTTGAGTCAAGGATCTCAGTGCAGGTCGCTTATCTGGGAGCTGCTCCCAGAGGAGGAAGCAGGAGAATGAGGGAGCAGGGAGAGGACAGTAGAGGGGTCTGGTGCTGGTCTCCACACAGTGCCAAGAAACCAGAGGGGCACCTTTGCGGGAGGGGAGGTGGGAGCACCAATCTCCAGTTAATGAGCGTGGCCCTGGGGAATATCTTCCCAGTCATCCTGAGGCTCTGAAGACTTGAGAAGGTGCCCTAAGGCAAAAAAACAAGGCAACCTAGGCCAGGAAGCTGCACAGTCACAGGAGCTGAAATCAAAGTAGCCACTGAAACAGGGGTGGGGCTCTCACACCCCTGGGACAGCACACACAACACTGGGCAGATCCTCGGGAGTGCCAGGTGCTGTGGCTTGGTGGGAAACACCAGGTTCTGGACCCACTGTTTGCTCAGGTATGCTTGGCTCAGTATAGGACCTACGGGCCACCCATCACCATCTCTCACTCACCTGCACTCCCTAGCCCTATGCAGGGAACATGGGAGTTCTCAAGGTGCTTCTGCGCTGCTGAAACACGCCTGCACAGACTCCAGACCCCTCCAATCTGGCTTTCCTGCATCAACTTACTCTGCTCATCAGGTCATTTGTGAAACAGCAAAGCTGCTGACTCCCCCTACCCCTTCAGGGGTCATTTAGAAATGCAAAGCAAGCTTGGAGTGCCCTCTTGCAGAGATCACTCATGGTGAGCTTTGGAATAAACACTGCATTCTAACCCCACAATGATACTTGCAAATAACCGTTGATAATGAGTCTGGTATTTGGAACATAATAATTCCATTTCTCTCATTACACTGTTCTGCTTTGAATGGAGTCTAATTTAAATGTACATTTAAAAGTAACAGCCAAAAAGTAAAATATTCGCATTTGTCAAGTTTTGTTCACAGATGTGTCCATGCAGACTTCAGCTGCTGCCCTAGTAACACAAATCTCACTCTATACTCTCACCGTTCTAAAAAATCGTAAGTGCAAAAACTATGGTTTTAATAATTTGAACATAGCATGGTGGTGACTGAAACATAGACTTTCAAACAGCCTTGCCAGGAAGAGGTGTATACACTTACAAACAGCTGTATACATTAACTCCTGTATAACTTCATGTACAAGCCATTTGCTCCTGTTACCAGGCATCTGTAAGCACAAAATATTCCAGCAATCCACACAGCAGAGTGAGCCTAATTTGAAATCCCAGTACAAATGCTGTCTCTCTGATTGTGGTGGGCCAGGTGACCCCAGGCCCTTGCCTGCTCTCCACCCTGAGCTGCTGCCTAGGCGTGGACTCTGTTGGTCACTCCCATCTTCAGCACAGGACTCTAAATGATTTAGAATCTGTCCCACTTCTATCAGATTTCCTCCTTACAGTTAAAGGGCTTTGGAGCCTACACACCTCAGTGGTTCAAATAGTAGGTTGATCTCAAATTATTGTCTCTGGCAGATGGTTGTCTTTAAATATCACCTATTCAATAGGAGCACTGATAGGAAGACTGGAGGACGGTGTGTGCTTGCCATGCAGGGCCCTTGATCAAGGGAGCTGCCATTGCTGTAACTTTATTACAGATTTAATTTTAAAAACATTTTCTCCAATTATTACAGACATGTAAATAGCAGTATACTTTGGAATGCTCTCTACACCAACCACTGTAGCTTAAAATGCTAGTGACAAAAACACACCAGAATAAATTACAGGGGAAATAAAAAAGTTTCTTGAGAGAAACACATATGGGAACTCAACATACCAGAACTGTGAGATACAGCCAAAGCAGTTTTAAGAGGGAAGTTCATAGAAATAAACACCTACATTAATAAGAAAGATCCCAAATAAACAACATAAAATAGAAAAAGAACAAACTGAGCCCACTGTTAACAGAAGAGAGGAAATAATAAAGGTTAAAGCGGAAATAAATTAAATAGAGAACACAAAAATAATAGAAAAGATTTAATAGAACTAAGAGTTGGTTCCTTGAAAGATGAACAAAATTAATCAATGAATTCAGTGAAGTTTCAAGAAAACAAAATTAACATACAAAAATCAGTAGCATTTCTATACACTAACAACAGATTTTCTAACAAATCCAATATACGATAGCATTAAAAAAATACTTAAAAAATAAATTTAAAGTATTTTAAAACAATAAATAAATTTAAGGAGGTGAAAGTTTTATGTCTTATAACTAAGGAAATTATAAGACATTGATGAAAGAAATCAAAGAAGATCCAGTAAATGGAAAGGTATCCCATGTTCATGAATTGGAAGAATTAATATTTTTAAAGTGTCAATACTACTAAAAGCCATATACAGAATCAATGCAATCCCTATCAGGATACCAATTTTGCTTTTTTTTTTTTTACAAAAATAGAAAAAACACTCCTATATTCTGTATGGAACCACAAACAACCTCAAAAAAACAAGGAAATCTTAAGAAGAACAAAGCAGGAGGCATCACACTTTCTGATTTCAAGCTATAGTAATTAAAACAGTATGGTAATGGCATCATACAAACAGACAAATAGTCCAATGAAAAAGAATTAAGAGTCTAAAAATAAACCCATACATATATGGTCAACTAGCATTTGACAGGAGAGCCAAGAATACTCAGTGGAGAATGGACAGTTTCTTCAATACATGGTGCTGAGATAATTGGGCATTCACATGTGAAAGAATGTAACTTGAGCCCTATCTTACACCACTCACAAAAATTAACTGGAAATGGATTAAAGCCTTAAATATAATAACCTAAAAACATGAACAAAAATATAGAAAAGATGCTCCCTGGCATTGCTCTTGGTAATGATTTTTGGCTTTGGTACCTAAAGCACAAGCAACAAAATAAAAAATAAACAGGTGGGATTACATTTAGCCTAAAATCTTCTGCACAGCAAAAGAAACCAACAAAGTGAAAAGACAACGTATGGAATGGGAAAAAATATTTGCAAACCATGTACCTCATAAGGGGTTATATCCAAAATATATTAAAAACACATAACTCAATAGCAAACAAATAATCCAATTAAGAAATGGACAAAACACTCATTTTTCCAAAGATACACAAATGGTCAACAGGTATATGAAAAAATGCCTAACATCACTTGTCATTAGGGAAATGCAAATTAAAACCACAAGATATGGCCTCACACCTCTTAGAATGACCATCAACCAAAAGATACAAGATAACAAATGCCAGTGTAGATGTGGAGAAAAGGAGGCCCTTGCAAACTGCTGGTGGAAATGTAAATTAGTGCAGCCACTATGGAAACAGTATGGAGGTTCCTCAAAAAGTAAAATACAGAACTATATGATCCAGTAATTTCACCTCTAGGAATATATCCAGAGGAAATGGACACACTAACTTGAAAAGATATCTGTACCCCTATGTTCATAGCAGCATTACTTAACAATAGCCAAGACATGGAAACAACCTGCAAGTCCATCAATGGACGAATTAATAACGAAGAGATGGTATATATACACAATGGAATATTACTCAGCCATAAAGAGGAAAAATTGCCATTTATGACAACATGGATGGACCTTGAGGGAATTATGCTAATTGAAATAAGTCAGAGACAAATACTGTATGATCTCACTTATATGGTGAATAAACACCAAATTCAAAGAGTTCAGAGACTTGTGGTTTACCAGAGGTTGGGGGCAGGGAAATGGAAAAAAGGGGGTCCAAAGGTACAAACTTCATTATAAGTACTAGTGATATAATGTACATGACAACTATAGTTACCATTGCTGTATGATATATACAGCAGA